TTGCACTTGGCGAGTCTACACCCGAGGGTTTGGTGTCCAACGTTGGGATTATGGATCAAGACGTTGTGATTGATAAGATTTCTAGCCTCGAGAAGGAGGTTAGTAAAGATTAATTCGTTTTTATATTTTAAGCTGCTTAAGTATCTTATTTTTTGTTGCTGTTGTGGGTTTTCTTGATTTTGTGGTCTGAGTTTAGATCTTTATGAAGTTCGTTCTTACTTAGTTAGTAAAAGCATGCATAATTCGGCTTCTGTTTAGGGTCTTAATAAACCAATTTATTTCTCAATTTGATGGATGATAAAGTTTGAGCAAGCGCCAGTTACTCTAGAAATGTTTAGTGAATATAATGTCACAGCTGGCTTCTTAAACAGCACACGTAGTAAGTTCATAGCACTTATCTGTTTATAGGAAATGGTCTAAGGAGAACTCAACCTAGAACTGTAAATGAAGTGATTCAAAGAGGTCAGAGAAAGAGAGTTTGTGAGAAAATTGAGAATTGCTACTTACCTTTTTTTTTTTCTTATATCAATGCTATTTCTTCAATCTGTTTGTCTAGTATATTTGGTAGACCTACTGAATTTCATCTGGTAATTGGTCTATACAGCTCTATGAATATCAATATAACATGGGCCTTCTTCTCATTGAGAAAAAAGAATCGGTGTCCAAGAACGAACATTATGAGCAACTATTATCCGAAACCAAAGAGCTCCTTCAGAGAGAGAAAACTGCACATCTTATTGCAATATCTGAGGTGGAGAAGCGTGAGGAGAGGTTGAGGAAAGCATTGGGGGTTGAAAAACAGTGTGTCCATGAGGTAATAACATCTTAACTTGACCTTACAGCACATGGAGGTGTCATTGTTATTACGACTTAAATAAGAGAACTGCTAACATTTTAATCCATTGGCTACTGCAGTTAGAGAAGGCTTTGCGTGAAATGCGGTCAGAATATGCAGAAATAAAATTCACTGCTGATTCGAAGTTAGAGGAAGCAAATGCTTTGGCTACTAGTGTTGAAGGGAGATCATTGGAGGTAGAGGCAAAGTTGCGTGCTGCTGATGCGAAGCTTGCTGAGGTCAGCAGGAAGACATCAGAGCTTCAGAGAAGATCACTTGAGATCGAGTCAAAAGAAGCTTCACTCATGAGAGAGCGCATGGCATTTAATTCCGAGTATGCTTCACATTTTGTTAAATGTTATTCTTTCACTATGTGTTTCTTATATGTTTTCTTTAATGTTTTCAGGAGAGATGCGCATGAGCGCAATCTATCTCACCAAAGGGAGGATCTGAGGGAATGGGAGAGAAAGTTACAAGAGGGAGAGGAGAAGCTGGCTGAGGTCCGTAGGTTACTCAACCAAAGAGAGGAGAGGGCAAATGATAGTGATAGATTATTTAAGCAGAAACAACTTGAACTTGAAGAAACACAGAAGAAAAATGACCTGGCTGATTCAGCTCTTAAAACTAAAGAAGATGAAATTAGCACCAGGATGGAAAATCTAGTCTCAAAAGAAAAAGTAAGTCTTCTAGGCTTTTGGCCAATTGTTTTCTAGAGATCTGTATTTGTCTCATGTATAATAAAAGAACATCTGTGTTTTGTTGCAGGAAGCTGCAGCTATGAGAAAGAAGTTAGAGGCAAGGGAGAAGGGATTACTAGAACTGGAGGAGAAGCTCAAGGCAAGAGAAAAAGTAAGTTGTTGTGGTTTGTTAGTTGTTGCTCATGTATTATATAGCATATAGTGTAGGTTCTAATATGTACAGCCAACTCAACTTTATGGCACTTGCAGGTAGAGCTTCAAAAACTTTTGGATGAACACAAGGTCATTTTGGATGCAAAGACACATGAATTTGAGTTGGATATGGAACAAAAGAGAAAATCATTGGATGAGGATTTCAAAAACAGGGTTGTTGAGGTGGAGAGGAAGGAAGTTGAAGTCAATCACTTGGAAGGAAAGATTGCAAAACGAGAACAGGCGCTAGAAAAGAAACAGGAGAAAATCAAGGAGAAAGAGAAGGAATTCGATGTGAAGTCGAAAGCTTTAAAGGAGAAGGAGAAGAGCCTTAAATCTGAGGAGAAGAACCTAGAGAATGAAAGGAAAGAATTAAGCAGTGAAATGGAGAATTTGTTGAATCTCAAGGTTGAGCTTGAGAAATTAAGTAGTGAAATTGAAGAGCAGAAATTGAAGATAAGTGAAGAACGTGAAAGGCTTCGAGTCACAGAAGAAGAGAGGTGCGAGCATGCCCGTTTGCAGTCTGAACTGAAGCAAGAGATAGAAAAAATCAGGCAAGAGAGAGAAGCGGTTTTGAATGAAAGGGAAAATCTGAAGCAGGAGAAGGAGAAGTTTGAAAAGGAATGGGAAGATCTTGATGAGAAAAGAGTTGAAATAAAGAAGGAATTGGAATCTTTTACTGCACAGAAGAAAAAGATAGAAAAAACAAACCGTTTAGAAGAAGAAAGGTTGAAGAACGAGAAGCTGGAAACACAAGCTTATGTGGAAAGAGAGTTGGAAGCTCTGAGATTGGCTAAAGAGTCGTTTGCTGCTACCATGGAGCATGAGAAATGTGTGTTGGAAGAGCAATATGAAAGTAAGAAATCCCAAATGCTTCATGAATTTGAAGTTCTGAAACAAGAACTGGAGACTGAAATGCAGCGGAAAGAGGCGGAGATTGAGAACCGCATGCGTGAAGCAAAAAAATCATTTGAAGAAGAGAGAGACAGGGAGCTGGCGAATGTGAAGTACTTGAAAGATGTTGCAAGTAGAGAAATGGAAGAGATGAAGCTAGAAAGGATACAGTTAGAAAAGGAAAAACAAGATGTATTTGCAAACCAGAAGCATCTAGAAGGGCAGCAGCTTGAAATGAAAAAAGACATTGATGAACTTGTTAGCCTCAGCATAAAGTTAAAGGATCAACGCGAACAGTTTGTCAAGGAAAAGAAACGGTTTGTGGCATTCGTTGAGGAAAACAAAGGGTGTAAGGAGTGTGGAGAGAGAGTTTCTGAGTTTGTACTCTCTGATCTTCAATCCTTATCAGAAATGAAGAATGCAGATAGTTTTCCTCTCCCAAAGTTTGATGGGTATTTGAAAGAAGCTGGGCAGGGTACTTCAGAGAGACCAAATGTAGGGACATCCATGGCCATGGGTAATAATAATAATAATAATTCAGGATCTCCTGCTTCTGGTGGGACCTTGACCTGGTTGCGAAAATGCACCTCAAAGATCTCTATATTCTCAACTGGGAAGAAGAATGTACATGAAGGTGGTGTTGAAGAGGGAGCAACACAAGCACAAGAGAAACTTGTAGATGTTGGAGAAATACCAGAATACATATTGAGCTCCGAGGAAGAACAGGAAGTGTCAGCTAGAGTTGTATTGGATTCTTTTGATGTCCAGAGGGTTCAATCCGTGGATGATGATCATGGAAACACCAACAGCCAGATACATGACATTGAAGAAGTTTCCCAGCAGCAGCAGTCTCCTTCTGATACGAGGAATGAAAGTCAGAGTCAGAGTAAACGAACCACTAGAGGGAGAGGGCGTCCTAAAAAGGCAACTAGTGAGAACAATGGTGTTGAGCATTCTTCTGATGTTGGTGTTGGTGTTGAGGGAACATCAAAAACATCAAACTCAAAGGGAAGGCGTAAGCGTGCAATTGAAGAAGATCCTGACTACAGTGAATATTCTGACAGTGTCACAACTGGGAGTAGGAGACAGAAAGTTGAACCTCAACCTCAACCTCAAGTTAGACGATACAACCTTCGTCGACCCAAGGCGTAAGTAACTAAATTTATACTTGTTTTTGTTAACCCATAATCTTTTTATTACTCTACCTACATTTATTCCCTGTTAATCATCAGTGGAGCTCCTGCCTTGTCTAATCAAACTAAAGAAGATGATGTGTCAGTCTCACATAACTCAAAGGGAAGTGGACGTGTTGGGAGAAAGAGAAAAGTCCCAAAGCCTCAACCTGGAGCTTCTGCTAGTCTTGCTAATGGAGATCACACCCAAGATTCACAACCCCATGATCATCATCATCATGATGGGTTTCTGGAGGTAGTCCTTCCTCTCTCCTTGTTTTCAACACGCATGTATTATTATTTAATCTGAATTTTTATTTATTTCATTTGGTATGGGTATCAGAAGAAAGTTGTAGATGGGGAGAATGAGGTAGCAGGAAACAATTGCTCAGATGGTGTTGCTTTGAGTGAAGAAGTGAATGGGACGCCTCAACAGCACAGGCAGCACCAGACTGGAACTCCTCCTGCTGTCCAGGACCAACATGACAATGACAATGATGATGATGATGATGATGAGTCTGAAGATGAAGAGGAGGAGGTTGAGCATCCTGGTGAAGTGTCCATTGGAAGAAAGCTGTGGACATTTATCTCAACATGAGGAACAAGTAGAAGACCTTTTTTATATATCATGCATGCATAGAGTCCAAACAACTCCCACCTTTTTGGCGTCAAGAGTTGTTTGTTGTGTTTCTTCGTTTGTTTGTTTCTAGTGTCGTCTATCAATTGTTTATGTAGGAGTCACGTTGTAGCTAGTTTCCTAGGCTTGGTATGGTATATCTCTATCTATCTTCAGTCAGATTGTTTTTTTTTTTTTTTTATTTCTTTTGCTTTGCTACATAAATTTGCTATGGCCAGTTAACTTGTCACTGGACCTGGATTGTCACACTTGATTTTCATTTTGTGTTAACAGACCATGATTATGATTGTTCATTCTATTTACATTTTGCATGATTGTTCATTCTATTAAATTCAAACCCATGCGCGAAACATCAAATGAAAACATCTTTGTTTGTGCATCTAACCATGAGATACTGAAACAAGAAATGTAAAATGGAAAATTTGATTTATACATACTAGGGTTTGGTGCCTGAAAAACCATCCACAGACCAAATGCTCCAACTACTGTTAGTTATCTTTAACTACTCTAAACCCTATATATATATATATATATATATATATATATATATATATATATATATATATATATATCCCACAGCAAAAACACATCACTTATGTTGTTGATATGATATGACAAAAGCTCAAACTTTATCTATTCATGTTAGTTGTGCAAAACTGTGACCACTTCAACTTTATTTTCTTTACTGTAGAGGTGATTTAGTAACAGGAAGCTCCTGCTACTGCTGGTGCTTGATTAGCCATAGCCAAGCGGGCTTTAAGCTCCTTGTGCTTCTTTATATCCCTGAACAACAAAACCACATTACAAGACACTTTTTGGGTTGGAGTAACTAACTAGTAAGATTGAGAGTTTTTGGTACAACTTACATGCAGCGAGGTATCCTGCAATCAGAATCTTTACATATTTGTGAGTGCTCCTTTAATATTCTCCATACCCGTTGACAAAATTGGCAACCTCCAGGAACCCTGACACTACATCTAGAAGCATGGTAGAAAAGTCTTCTCATAGTTACACACTCTGTATAAGTGCACGGGATCCTCACACATTGAGATGCATGCATTAAAACATCCAGCACTGCTTTCAACTGCAATGGAAGGGAATATAAAACATTATCGAAGATTCAAGATTGTTTTTTCTTGATTAATGTAAGAAAGAAAGTTGTTCAGAATCATAGATACCGTCATGGGTTTTTGATGTCCATGTCCAGGTTTAGATCCCCTGACAAGTATGAGTGAAGGCGGATTTAATCTGTGAGGATGATAAGCACCACGTTTCATCTTATAGCATGATTCACAAACATTATACTTTGTACAGATGTCACAATGCCAGCATCGCTCAACCACAACATCTTTGTTGCAAGCAGTGCAGGTTGGTTTAATAGGAGGAGGCTTGTGGATTAGATGATACAAGATCATCATAGACGAATATTTGGCATGGGATAATGTATCAAACTGAAAATGGGATTTCTGGCATTTGTTTAAGAAGGCATCACGAGTCTCAAAGAAACTGTTCACAAACACATCATCTTTATCTTTGGTATCAACAGTCACATTCTTCACCACAACCTGTAAACTCAAACCACATTAACACTAACAAGAAAAAAGAAAAAGGAAGGTCTTTAAGGTGTGTTTTTATAGAGTTTCTCACCTCAGAGAGTAGATTCTTTTCATCAGAATGGCATGTGTGCATTTCACTCCTAGAAAGATTCTTCTCAGCATTAAAACATCTGCAGTGAAGCACACCATAGTCATCAGTAAACACGTATGTTTTAATTTAGAGAAAGAGATGAAAAAAACAAAGAGGTCATTTACCTTGAACATAGTTGAATCTTTTTGCAGTGGCTGCAAAACCATCTGCTTCCAGATAATATCACTTCATGGCAATGAGTGCAAACATGTTGTAAATGGACAATCATAAAGTTTTCCTTCACAGGTAGAATAGTTTGGCCCAGCTGCAAGTAAAATCAAGAAACAAGAATATGAGTCTAAGTGAGCCAGCATAATACAGCAAGCAAAAAGATTACCTTTTGCATCACTAACACATCCTTGACTGCAACATCAGGTTTATCCTGTCCCATGGCTTTCAAGATTCTCTTGTTAGGTAGCTTGCTTTGCAATCCACCAGCACTAGTTTCTTCTACTTCAAGTTTCCTAACTATATTTTCAGCTGCCCCTGACCAATAATCACCATCAAAAAAGGGCAAACGAGCTGCAGTTATCTTTCTATTCCCCTCTCCACTAGCAACAAAAAACTGATTGTATAAATTTGTGTAGTCCACAACAACACCATCTTCCGCCCCTTTCTTTAGCATTGACTTGTACCTAAACATAAAAAAAACAAAAAAAATCAGCAAAATATACTCTTACTTTGGGGCATTTTACCAAACACCTTATGTGCAGAGACAAAGAGAGGTACCACTGGCGTAGCTTATCCTGCTTTGGTGTTCTCTGAGTCTCTGGATGGCAGTAAAAAATATAATCTTCTCCTTTTATAAGAGGACATGCCCATATATAACAGGTGGCGAAACCCCGTGTCTTGCAATACTCGAGGTATCCAATCTGATGATCATCATAACATAGGCAAAAAAACAAAAGAGATACTTTTAATCTAGTTGTTGCTATACCAACACACAAGTGTTAATAAATTAAACAAAAGAAAAAGTGAAAGAAGTGAAGTACCAATATCTCATGATAAACAAAGGTCCGAAGAGATTCACCACTCACACTCTTTCTCTCGGGTCTAAAGTACTTTACAGAATCAAGATACGAGATATACACACAACGTTGATTTGGGCCCCCACACTCTGATCCAAACTCCTGAACACACATTCCAAACAGGCACACATCTACCCCTTCTATATTCTGGAACAAAAAGATCAACTGATGCCAAAAAGATATATATATATATATAATGTCAGATGAGATGCCTATTTAAGACATATGAGTAAGCTTGCTGAAAGCATAATAATAGTTACCTTTGATCTGTATGTAAATCCTGATGGGTAATCTTCTCCATGAAGTATGTCTTTAAACTTCTGTCTCACTTCCAGCTGTTTCTCAACAGACACAACTACCCTCACAACAAGCCCTTCAGCTCCAGGTACCTCATTGGGTTCAATTCCAGAAATCTTTGCCATTTCTTGTCTTTCTTGATTCAGACGCCTACACAGTCTTTCCTCTATGTGATCACTCAGATTAGTTCTTGGAAGATCTTTTGCTCCAAAAGCATTGGTTTCTGGTAAGGGAACACGTGTTCCATCCTCTATTTCTTCTAAATAACATTTAGGACAAATATATTCCGCCTTCCCTTCCACATCTTTTTCATCATTATACAGACCACATATCCTATGCTGCCAGCATTGACATCTATCACAAAGAACCCACTGCATGATCAAGTCATCAACACCAAATTGATTAAGAGTTAAGACCAGAGACAAATAAGGTTAGTGCATTAAAATGATAAAATCAACAACTTACAGAGTCCTCTTTTTCCTCATCGTTTTTTGCTTTTTGGAGATTTGATTTGGGAATAGAAAACCCGCGCATAATAATATTAGTCCCATGAGATCCTCTGTAGCATGACATACAGAAACAATGGCGTATACCAATTTCATTTGTTGATCGAAAATACCCGACATTTCGCTTGATACGGGTGTCACAAGATGAGCAATATATAGGTGATGGGGCAAATACAAGCTTATCATTGGTACACAGCTGGCATCTGTTTTGACCGATTGACTGTTCTCTGTTTCCTGATACTACATCCTTCTGAGGGGTAAAACTCAACAAATGCCCTCTGATTTGATCTGCAGTGAAAAAATCAGCTAAAGACACACTCTGTATCTTCATCTTCTCTGATTTGTTCATTTCATTGTTTGTAACACCATTACCATCACTTTGTTTTAGCCCTGTTGATTCTTGTTCACCATTCAACTTCTTTTTCTGATCATCATCCATGGCTTCTTCTTCTTCTCCATTTGCACTAACTTTTGGGTCAATATCTGCTCCTAAAAGTTCTTTTTGTAGCTGTACTACTTCTTGAACATCTTCATTACATACAATTGCTTCCATCTTCTGATATTTTGTAGGTAATAATGCATCTTCTGAAAGTGTTTCGGTGTGACTCGGATCAGCATAAAGTGTGGGCTCTGATTCATCTATCTTTCTCTTTTTAGATTCCAATTGAAATTTATTAGTACCATATAAAGACCTTGCAGGCCCACAAATACTGCAATTTGAATCATGACACTTGTCAAAATGGGATGCCAGTTCAAGATACATGGAGCAGTTGCAAAAATTGTCCTTGCATTCTGCTGCATGCATATAATTTTGGAAAGGAACTTCTCTTCTCAAATCTGCTGGCATATCTTTGTACATGATATATGAATTAAGGACTTGCAAACTAGAGATTTGATTTGAACTTTCCAAAACATGTGGTTGAGCCTGCATTGTGACTTCATTTCTGGATTTTTCAACATTGCCAAATAACATATTTGATTGAGCCTTCAATTGATAATAAGCTCTACTATCAAAAGCTTCAGAATCAGATATCATATCTCCATAAGAACATGCAGTGATGGATGATACTTGTTCAGGTGAAGTAATAAGGTCTAGATCAGTCTGCTTTACACCCAATGGGGAAATTAAGTTCATCCCACCACAACCAACATTTGTGCTGGGATTATTCTGGGAATAATCGTTAAATGCAGATCCTGTAGATGTTTATTACTTTATTAAACATAAATAATAAATAATTTAGTGGGGGGCATGTTAGGAAAAAATGGGAATGGAAGAGCCAAAGAACATACCTCCACAAAGCTCAGGATTATAGATTGAAGTAGAATTGTAATGATTGTATCCCAAATTCGTGTAATTTTCAGGACAGATTGAAGTAGAGCTATGAAAAACAGGTGAAACCAACAAGTCTGGCAGAGATGAATGAGAGGAAGCAAGGGTGTTGGATACTATCTGATGAAGATTAGCATCATGTTGAATGTAGTTCTGCAATCCATGGGCAAGTAACTTGTGGTCATTATACTCCTATTAGAGTTTCAGAAAGTATGTAAGTTTAGATATGAAAAGCGACATATTTATCAACTCAAGTAGAAATTTAAAATTTTCCACATAGCAAGTCTTCAACAATGTCAATAACAAGAAATGTTTATGCATGGAAATAAGCTAATTAAAGACCTTTGAAGCATGAAATTCCGATTTCAATATGATAAATATTCATAAGGCTAAAAACAAGTCTAGAAGCCCTTGGCAGTTGGCACGCTATAACCACTTTTCCCCTTTCTATACAGCTGAAATGCTTTAAATGAAATTAATGATTTCACTACATGGGAAAAGCACAAAGTTCCCATTTATAATCATTAGCGAATAGATCTAGCACGAATCACATCGGATGCAACTCATTTTGAGAAGTTTTTTTCCAATGGAAGCATCCGAACAATAAATCTTGTTGCACATTTGCAATATTCAATTCTACTTATAAAAAAGAACAAGCACACACGCGATTGGAGTAAATCGCATAATCATTACCCAATCTACCACAGATCATATTGGATACAACCAATTGAGAGCTTTCTCCAATCAACATGTTGGAACCCTAAATTCTGTCCCAATGCGATCAATCGATCATTATGGTACTAATTAGCTGCACGCGCGATTCAAACCACCACCAAATCATCCACATTGTAATATCCAATTCTACTAATGACAAAGAACAAGAATGGTTACCTTTTGAGAATCGATAGAAGTCGGAAATCGGGTGTTCAAGTGATTGATAAGGTCAGATGCCCAATTCTCTCCCACAGTTGTCTCCATATAGTTTTTGGCACTACACAGTATATATATACTCATTAAATATAGTAAATAAATGCTCAATGCATTTGACTTAAATCACTGATCCCTAATGTATGCATTAATTGTCCCCTTGATTCACGCTATAAAGTTTAAAGTTGTCAAGTAATACCACATTAACACTAAAAACTTGTCTTTTCATCATTATGAAACACATACTTACACCAAACAAAGCTTGTAGACGCCTTAATGTTCCAAGAACTAATATCAAATACAGCCCCCACTATCAAATTCGAAACTTAAAAGCCCAAAAAGAAGAACAAGTAACTTACACGCTGCCGATAAACTTATTAACATTATTGACGCCGGAACGTCGCTTCTTGTGCAAATTACTCGCGACACCTCCTTCTTTCTGAATACCAATGTTCTTGTTCGTGAATTGGTCGCGTACGTGACCTAATTCGTAAACCATCCTTTCATAATTTCAAATTGCAAGAACATACAATGAACAGGGTATCTGAAAATTTCAAGAAAGATTGCGAAAGACACGCAACGGGTAGGAATTCAACGATTGGTAAGGAACCCTAGTTTGGGGCAAATAAAAAAGAGGGAAAGTTTTTTTGTTTTTTTTTTTTCTCTCGATGTTCCAGGAATCGTTGTTAGCTTCTTCTATCTTCGAAATCTAAGTACGAATCGAATGTCCCCCGTTTGGATGGCGATGAGGAAGTTAGGGTAAATCGAATTAAATTTCCATTTTAATTTATAGGTTATGATTTCTATCTAATTCGGCTCCGCTGATTTTGTGGGGTCATATCGAGTAGTAGTGATGACTTAGGTTTCGGGTGTCGTATGAAGTGGTACCTTGCTAATAAAAAATATTTGATTAATTTATGGACGATGGCGCCAAATGCATGTATTTTCAATTCATTAGTTAAAGAATAATTGGACCCTTTCATTTAATTTTTGTATATAAAGTTGGCAAATCAAACAATATATTAGTCTCTTACCTTTATATTTATATATTTTTATTTTAATGATTTAGTTTTTGTGTAATTTTACTTAAATTAACCAGGATGTATGATTATTTTAAGACAAAACCATGAGTTTCTTTAGTATTATATAATTAAAAATTAAGAAATAAAATAAACAAGATTATGTAATTAACAAGATAATTATATTAATTATTACTTTTTATTGTCACATTTGTTTAATGTTGATCCATCCAAACAAATTATTTAATAAATAAAAAACCAAATAAAATATAATGATAAATAAAAAATATATTATTTCGTAGATATAAATTTTAATTAAATAAAAGTAAATTGTTAAATAAACTACATATCAACATGTTATACTCCGTTAAAAATATATATATTATATGCTTTGCAAATAATAAACCAAAAAATATCTATGATCTAGAAAAAGATACAATATGAAAAGAAAATAAAGACAATGAAATCTTAAAATATAACTATAATGATTTCTTTTAAAAATAATATTTAACTGTTTTGAAAATTAAAAAGAATAATTATATACATCATATAAATAAAAAAATTATATATATCTTGTGGAGCTTCCCAAGGTATAAATCTTCCACATTTATCATCATTTTATATTATTTCACTAGGTGTGACACCCATGTATTACATGAGTTTATCTAAAAAAAATTAAATATGAAATTTTAATAATTTGAGAAGTTTGAATTTATAAGAAAAATGAGAAAAATTTTGAATATTAAAGTTAATGAGGCTTTAATACATTTAATACATTACATATATAAATCATTTCTATTAAATACCTTACATATATATTACCTTACATATTAAATGTGAAATTTTAATTTAATAAAATGAAAAATATAATAAAATGACAAGTGGAAAATAGAAAATTCAAAAATTTTAGAAAATGTCATGTGTCCAAATGAAAGAGAAGATGACATGTGGCAAAAAGATTTTGATTTATTAGGGAGGATGCCATGAAGTCCCCCGAAGAAGTGTTCTTAGAGTTTTGGACAACCCCAAAAACTTAGGCTTGTTTGGTGACCATTTTTTGGCCCTAGATGATGGAAAAAAAAGTTAAGTCTTGATTCCTTTTTGCTCCATGCACAAGTTAAAGTCTTATTATGGATTTTATGGACTTAGGGTTTAGATTTGGTCTTGTGGTGAGGTCCTAATGGATAAAGTTGAAAACTTTATCCATTAAGTCATAAAGAAGAATCAGATATGGAAGTATGAGCTTTGACCTGTAAGGATTAAGCTCTTAATGAGAAATTTAGCTTCTGGCAGTAACCACGACATGGCCAAGAGGTCACCATGTCGTGGAAAGGTTCAGCCTCGTGACTGTTTTGTCTGGACATGCACACGACGTGGCCAAAAGGTCACCACGTTGTGGTGATAGTTAACTTGGTTGACCGTTGACTTTTGATTAGTTTGACTTTTGACCAGTTTGACTTGAGGTCAAACTTAGAGGATTGGGTTTGCTGATTGAGGATTCATCTCTTTTGTGTTAGTCGGTTTGTAGGATTGATTAGTTCAAGGAGTGGGAGTGTTGTTGTGCTTCTCTGGTTCTTTAAGTGAGTTTCTCACTATGCCATGTATCCCATTGTATATCCTTTGCATGGTATGATAGAGGTACTGTTAGAGTACAAGAATGTTAGTTGGCTAGGATAACTCCTTGTTATGCATGTGCAGCTTAGGACACTTGGTGTCTTGGTATGTTAGACGGGTAGGGTCTTGCATGTAGATCGTATGATACTGTTAGGAGTTATATTTGGTTAGGGTAACTTGGGTAGGCTAGTTATCAGGATTATGTATGACTGAACAGCGAAGGACTTAATTGAGAAGTGATTAATGGCAGGGTAACTAAGGAAGGCTAGTTACTAAGGGTATAGATATGCTAGTATTCTTTGTGTATTTATATTACATGGTTAGGTGGTAATGATACCTTGGGTTCTATGTAGTTTAAGTTGGACAGCCTGATAGTTTAAGTTGGCAGGGTAACTATGTAGTTTAAGTTCGCTCTTGGATGGGTCATAAGTTCGACTGTCTATTTGACCCCTGACTACATACGACTTTATGTATTGTATGGAAGACCAGGATCCGACCCCTGTCAATTGTATGGAAGACCAAGATATGGTATGACCCCTGACAATTATATGAAAGACCAGGATTTGGCCCTGGTAGTTGTATGGAAGACCAGGATCTGGCCCCTAGTAGTTGTATGGAAGACCATGATCTGGCCCATGACAGTTGTTTGTAAGACCAAGATTTAGACCTCGACATTGCAAGGAAAGACCATGATTTGGCCTATGGAAAGATGTGGTTGTAAGACTATGATTTGGCCCATAGCATTCACCCGGGGTTGAACACAGAGTCGTTATTTCATGTATGATTGTTACGTATGTTTATGTGGATAGGATATTTGGTTGGTCGACGCTAAAGTCGAACACTTTGTGTGGATGCATTGTATGTATGATGGAATATGTGGTATATTGGGGAACTCATTAAGCTTTATGCTTATAGTTGTGGATTAAACTTTTTGCAGGTCGTTCGTGAGAATAGCTCAGCGGGACTATATACACGCATCGAAGATGTTCGTTTTCGCGGTTTTGTAAATTTAATTATGATAATGTGTGGTTTCAATCGAACAAATGTTAGTCAATGTTTTTTTGAAGCAAATGTTTAAATGGGTTGTTTTACTTTAAAAATGAAAAATATCTTTGTAATTTTTGGGACGTTGCATTTTGCCGATGATAAAATCAAACCATGAAGCGGTTGCTGATTTTTTTTTGTGAATCTCGTTGAATGAAGAATATATGATCTCGAGTGGTGATTATATGACCATAAAACACTAGAGAAGATAGAAAAAGGAGACATAAACGAGCTAAATTGATGTCACCACTGAATCACTTAAAGTGGGAGCTTTTTAGAAGCTTTTTTTTTGCTATTGCAGGTTGGTTCTTGAGAGATCGACGATGGTTGGATCTTGATAGTTTCGAAATCAATTTCGTCCCCTGAACCACGAACAAGAAATCGTGTTCAGACTTGATGTGTGTTCAAGAACACAACTGGGAGCAACATCAATGGTCATGTGTCTTGGAGATAATTGAGTGGGTTTTTTTGAAGAATAAGATGATCATGTGTGTATGAGAGTGTGTGAGAGAGAGAGAGAGAGAGAGAGAAGTGGGGTGCCCACATTTATTTAATTTAACATTGATATTTAAATAAAAGAAAAAAATGATTAAGAAAATAGAAAAAACAAATTAAAAGGGCATATTAGTCTTTCAAGTTTAATAGGACCAATTCCACAATGAAATTAGCTGAAAAGGACTACCAATCCAAAATGCATGTGGTTTGGACAAAAACCAGAAAAAAATGCATACCATAGAGACCATTTTTGTAGTTTTGTCTTTACTTAATTACCCTTGTAAAAATAGTATAAACCCTTCACATATCTTCACAAATTCCCTAAAAAATCAAGTTCGTTCAAGCCGCTGTCGGTACCATCATCATCCTCCAAGATTCGTCCCTGCCATATACGAGTCTTATTTTTTATTTCATTATCGAACACATATGTATGTTTCTGGTCTTTGCTGACATGTTGATTTGTGTCAACCATTGTGACATTCCCATTTTCACGGCCAGAAAAGACCGATTTTGTTTATGTTTTATAAAAATCAGAGTACCTCTTTTAATAAAAGTGTTGCGGAATTTGTTCCCAAAAAAACGTGATAAATACGTTATCAAATAATTTCCGAAGAAATGTATTTTTATTCATTTTAAAACATTTGGGATGTCATCGTCAATACAGAAACATAAGCATAAACAGAACTTACATTTATTTACACTAGTGATTTACATCTCTTTAATCTCTCAGTGTAAAGTAGCTTCGTATCGACACCTGTGATACAAATAAGCTTGAGTGGGTCAGGTTGGGAAACCTGGTGAGTACATAGGGTTTTCAACCCACAATAATATAATTATTATGTTTAATCATCAAACAATTAATCAACCCAATTACCCATACCCATTCTCTTCTTTACTCTTAAGGATCTACCCTAAGAGTCAGTTATTCTTCATTCATTCATTCCTAAGGATTGTCCTAAGGAATAGGCACGAAGTCTATCGTTGCCTATGACACATCTGTCAAGCACATCTGCTAGTTCTATCACTTAGGCGCAACTGCCAGAATTGTGACATTCTCTATGAGGCGCAACTGTCGGTATTGTCCTTCGGGCACATCTGTCAGGGTTATCTCGTTTATTGACAATATTATTTTCGAGAGTCCACTCGCAATACATGTCAATGAGTTTTTAGAGTACACCGGTGAACACATCGTTCACAACACCTACAGGTTGCGAGCCTGCTAGTGTTCCACTGGACTGTCTAGAATAGTCTGTGGTTGTCATTCATACTCTGCTAGATGACGGGGCCAACATTTGGGTAAAAGGCTTCTCACATCGTCCACCTCTCACCATCACCTCATGGTCTATTTCACCTCTCACCTCATCATCCGACTCATATTTCATCTACCCATGTTTTACCCAACATATTTTGTAGATATAAAATACATATACAGTTTAAATAATTTAAAACATGTATAAAATCGTTCATCCAGCATAGACAACAAGTATTCAGACAATATGCACACATAGCACATAATTTATATTAAATACTTCATATCTATGTGTAAGATGAAAGTAACTATGCACTCACCTGATAAGGTGGTGACTCGGTACTCGGACATCGCTTCGT